AAGTTGTAAGCCATTATCATTATAAGATGGCTTTAATAAAAACATCGGTATTCACATACGCCAATTCCCTATCCACACCATCCCACTATCCATGCCATTCGTTATTTTTTAGTCGGGATCATTTGCGGTCCCTATCGGGGATCATTTCTTGTCCGGGATCATTTACGGTCCAATTTGGGGATCATTTGCGGTTCTGGGATCATTTGCGGACCCGTACAGTACTAGTCATTTCATGGATTTCTTTATAGTAACTTTTCGATATAACGCGCTCCGAAATAGAGTGCTTTATCAGAGTAAAGATGCACGGTAAGCTAGTCCCAGGTCAGAATTCCCCCCGTGGTTTCTGAACCAACCGAAAGTGAAGTTTCCCGTTTTCAAATGGCTAAAACGCCATGAAATTTTTTTATTTCCTTATCACGATCTCGTGTAGATTCCATAAAACAAATAAAAAATATATATCTGTTATATAAACTTTAATTCTTATTTGTTTCCGAAGTAACTGACTCCGTAGAAATATTGATTAACAGTGTTATTGACAGCAATTGAGTAGATGAAAAATCATAGATGTTCATTTCCAACCAGTATTACTGACAATGCGTTTAAAGTGTGATGCGTATTAGTCCTTTATCGTCAAGAGGGTATCTAAATAATATTCAAAGTGGTCAGATCACCCTATTTTGATGATTTCAGGTTTGGTTAGTATTTATATTGACCACCGAAATGATCAAAAACGGGAAACTACAAAATATTACTCAACGAAAAAAAAATAAAAAACAAAAAAAAAAAACTGACAACTTATGAACGATTTACAATGAATATCCTTCGATTCGTTTCCGCCGTTTATACTTAAATTATCCCAATGTAGCCTGCGAGAACATTTACCTCAAAAATAACTAGATCTGACACATTCCTTGTCAAAAAAACGGTCTTTTTCTCAAGTTCCACATGCGCTGGCGCCAGCTATTTACTCTTTTTTTTTTACGCCTTTACGGTGAGCGCTACATATTTGAATTACTTCATAATTTTGTGATGTTTGGAATGGACAAGAGATTACCTCGGATTCTGCCAACTTAACCTCAGACGTGAACATTAAACTCCACAACACACTGACTCTATACTTCACTGGTGCTCTTACCCTGTGGCTGATGTTTCCTTTAATGTTTAATTTCACTTTCATTGACTTGCTATTTGTAAATAAATGTTATCTCCATCATTTACAGCAATATCATATCAATCTCTAATCTTTCAATAAGTTATCTTAAATCTAATTTTTGTGTATTCCCATGAAAATTATAGACGGAAAAACAAAAACAAAAAGTTTTTACTGAGGCAATATTATTTGTTTACCAACGTTCATTTCGGAACAGTATGAGGTGCTAAAGTTGATTGTTATTTAAATCCGGTTGTCTCTTTTCTTTTGACCAGCACAACGTTTTTAATTTGTAATTGGTTGCTTTGCTTCTTTAATTAAAACAAGCGTTGTGCTTCTTTTTCAAATATCGCCTCTGACATGTCGCTTTTGTTTCCCTACAGGACTTAACGTTATAGTTTTAAGTGATGAAATCGCCACTTTTTTTCATTTCCACATTATGCCTCACTTAAATTCACTTTGATTATCTCTGCGAATGTTAACAGTACCATAACATGGTACAATGCAACAATGTTTCCATAATAACGATATGTATGTCAGCTAGCTGGCAGCATTTACCACAGTATTCCCGTGGAGCAAATAAATTGTGATACAAAAATCGTCTAAACTTCTTTTAGTCATTTTTAAATTCCCTTCTGATTGAACCATATTCAGGCACTGAAAAATAATTGAAATATAAATATAATTGAAATATGATTATAACTTCTGCCAAAAGTCATTAATAATTAACAGCCTCGGTATGACCGCTCATTTATTTCATGCATATTTTATAATGCAGGCTTCTGGACAATATTCGACAACGAAGAGAAGTGAGAGATTGTAAAAAGGTTTTCACGGTAAGGAAAATATATAAACTTATCTGTCTACGTATTCTCTACAATCTAAAAAGGAAGCGTCACTGCCCTCATAACTTTAATTAAATGTTGAAGATTGCTTTTATCATACCCGGCTGCTTTTGTTTAATTTGTAGTAGACGATGCACTAAGCTTCAAAGGCCATGTTTCAGAATGGGTTTGAGATAAGGAATTATAACGTTTTAGCGCGCAGAACTCTTTGCAAACAACCCTGTGTCACTCCACACGGCAGCGTGAAAATAGCTTCAAGAAACAGCTCGTAAGATGCTGTTAAACAACAGTACTAGTCAATAAACTTTCATATCATTGAGGGAGCAGCGATCATTTTCAAGGAATAAATAGCCTGCCATAAGGGTCCCCAAGCTTTATCCTACGTAACTCTCTTGGCTTGCTTTTGCTGGTTGATTAAATGCAATAGCGACCAGAAAGCTTGCAAAAAACCTAGGGGGAGACTCCTTCGCTATGCTTACCTGAAGATTGGCGTCATTTATTGCTCGTTAGTAGGAACACTTAGGACATGGATAGGATTCAAGAAATAATGCCCCGTGTTTGCCTTTTAATATTTTATAATGTGTCGTGGAGATGATATCTTCATCTTAAGAAAAGTATACGAAAATAATAGAACGGGTCGTCCGTAACTGTCCACGCGACAAAAAAATTTCAGTTCCTTTTTGGATTAATCAGTTATTTTAGCAAACTAGGAGGAATTCCAAGCATATACCCTTGCATGCATAAGTTGCCTTTTCAAGCCTTCTGCATGTTATTAAAAGCTTTATCACTGTTGAATGGATATTACAGCGAAATCCCAAATGCAATGTATGGCCAGACTGAAGGAAAGTGCAAGGATCGGCAAATAATGTTGGATGGACATCACCTTACATCATATGATTTCAAATAAGCCGAATAGCATGGGACTAAACTTTTTCACAAAATAATGCTCCATAAGTTGTCGTCAAAATGTGCTCTTGTAGCAAAAAGCTAAATCTACCATGTTATTCCTCCTATTCAAGTCATCGCACTATCAATGCCATTCTTCTATTTTTAACGGGATCATTTGCGGTCATAGATTGGAATCAAATGCGGTCCGGGATCATTTGCGATCCTCCATGAAATCATTTTCGTTCCACTAGCTATCATTTCAATTCCGTGAGCGAGGTTCGATTTGGAGAGCGCGGCACTTTGTTAACCATTTCTCATCACCGACTGATCAATGTCTTTCTCATCTTTATACTAAGCTTGAAATAAGCAGTCATTTTCCGTTTTCTCACAAACTTTTCTATTTCAGAGCCACGATGGCAAAATGGCTGCAAATGCTTTCAACTGCTGTCATCGGTGTTTGTGTGTTTTACTTCCAGACAACCACTGCAAAAGATAATTCGTCCACAACTACTAATAAAGACTTGCAAAGCGAGGGTGAAAATAAAAACCAAACGGTAACATTTCTGACAGTGGCCTGGATTTTTGACCCTCCATACATAATACCAGTAAATGGATCTTCAATCCAAGATGAGGGTATGATACGAGATGCACTATTGCGTTACATAACAGTAGAGTGTGGTTATTTTTGGGAACCTTACATCTCATACAAAGTGATAAGCTTGCAGGCTTACAGTGAATTTGGCATGATAGAACTGCTGAGGACAAACACAGCGGATGTGGCTTCTCCTATATTCGAGACCCCAGGCAGTCGACGATATAGTGAATTTCCCTTTTTCAAAATTGGCGATTATCCCGGAACAGATTTCTTTACAACTGAAGATCAAACGAATCCGATTAGAGGGGTCTTGGACGCGATATTCACGTCTTGGCCATTGCTTGCACTTACTCTGATAACTATGGCCATTGCTGGTGTCATTATGTGGGCTCTGGTGAGTTTGTGAACAGAAATCTATAACCAGTATCCCTTGCGTGTTTAAGTGTAGGCCTGTTAATAGAGAGATTAAGCATGACGTTACGTCAAAGGGCAAACGGCAAAAATGAAACTTTTGCCGTCTGTCTTCAGCTGTCTGTACAGTAGAGTGAAAATATTTGTATTTGCGGTGAATAGTAGAAGCCTTTTTTTCTATTTTTTCGTGATTTATTTAAGGATTACAAGAAAAAAAAATCAGAGGTAATCTTTGCCGTTTGCCGTCTGCCGTAAACGTCATGCTTAAGCTCTCTAATAGTGACTAATTCCTTCAATGAGACACGCCCGCGCGGAATCATGGTAGTTGTATTCATCAAACACATATCCAGTCCAAGATGACGAATACAGCTACCATGATTCCCTGCAGAGCAGGCGTTTGTCATAGAGGGGAATTGACCATTCCTTCTTGAGCAGAACGATGCTGGTAGTATAATCATGGTAACGTCCATTTGACGATCTAGGTCGCCATACAACTTGTGTTCAATCTCAATTTCCAGTTACCCGTCTACTCCCTCTAGGTGAAATGCTCAATATTCCATTGCAAACAGTGGACTAACTTGTTTTAATTTTTGGAATGTTAAGGACACGTATTGGAACAGTGAACAGTTTCCACGTTCGTTCATCAAAGGTTCTTGGCATGGATTCTGGTGGTCCTTTATATCTGCAACCACAGTAGGGTAAAAGAACGACTTTAACAGTCATGTGGGGGTGGAAGGGTGAGGCAGGTTGTCTTCACGATGATTTCAAACTTGAAAACTTTGAAACGTATTGTAACGTTACGCATGGTGTCGACCTTACTGTAGATTTGGAAGTGTTTAGTCAATGGTTGGTCGGCAAAGTGTTAGTATCATCATAGATTTATTTTTCTGTGGTAGCAATAAGTTAGAGAATTTTTTTTAAGTTAGTTATTCGTTTCACTTTTTTTTTTGTCATGGTTTCCAATTTAAGCGTTCTTACAGTGCTTTTATTATAGAGAATCAATTACGGCAATTATTTTTCAATTTTACAGTCGAAACATGAGCTTTAGATGACGGTGCCAGGATGGGTATTTTTAGGAAATTATGATGCCATTTTTACGACATAACGTCCTGCTTCTGCACCCTCGGCCACCAATAAAACAACAAAACTCTAACAAAACTCTAAAATACTTGAGAAGAGGAAGAATCTTCTCCGGCCACTTCAACCCTGGTACTACAAGCTTCAAAGTAGCAATAAACAAAAAAAAAGCGGGGTGTCGCTTTCCAACGGCTACCGAAAAGAGGGTTTAAAATATTTGGATTATCTTTTCCACCCCTCCTCTACAGCTCGATGGGCAACTTTGCACACTTAAGTGTAGTATTTATTGTTGAAAATCATGGTTCTCTCTGTGCTCGCACAGTTGTTATTTTATAGCAATGCTAATCTCATATTACTATGGCTCAATGCGACGGGCATATACTATTATTTGCGATTTATAAAAATGATTTGTTTTTTTTTTTTTGCATCAGGTATGGTGACAAAGCTCCAAAGTCTGTTGCAGCCCGAGTTTTCTCCGTCATATGGATCCTCATGGGTATCATCAACATAGCGTTAATTACGGCAAATATCACCTCCACATTGACAGCTCTCTCCCTGCATATGGAACCAAGCAGCCTTGTTAATTTGAAGGTTGGTCAACTGATTACGCAAATTTTGCACTGAGACATTTTGTGCGAGGAATACAATAACTAGCGGGAAGAAGAGATGGAGGCGCCAGCACCTGGATCAACGTTAACACTAACAATAATGCAAAAACAGTCCGATAAGCCCACGTGATAATATCCCCCATGGATTGTTCTGTAGTTTAGATCATTAAAAAAGCTTTCGTGACCATAGAGACTCATTTTCTGTGCGGTATTGTAGACTTGAATGTCCCTAAACGTTTTATGACGCTAAGACCCTTCCGAATATAAGCCCGACCATTTTCAAAGCGCGGAATCTGCCTTTGTTAGCAAGCCCATTCCAACGCATGACCAGCCGTAACTACTGTGAACAAAAAACCTCCCTAGAACAAAACTAGCCCAGAAAATTTGCTGGAATTTGAAGAGGAAAAAAATGTTTTCGCTATTTAAAGACTACTCTCTTCCTTCTGTCAGCGATGGTCAGTCATCCCTCTACTTAAAAGATGTAAGGACAAGAACTGAGTTAAAAAAAAGAATCAATTTTTAATTTTGAAATCTATATTAGGTTGCGGTGCTAGGCAATAGAACAGAATACCAGCATGCACTTCAGGAAGGTGCTCAGCCGAAAGGTTGGTGCAGAATAATAATATTTCACTGAAGACATGCTTCAGCTGTTACTCTCGTTGTCGTTGTTTGGTTTGTTTGTTTGTTTGTTTGTCTGTTTGTTTTTTTCTCTTGCTAGGGCGAGAAGGTGAAGTTTCCACAGATTTTGAACAGTTTGTTATTACAAGCTGAAATTTATACAGTACAGTGCAGTACATGAATGAGCGAGACAAGACCTTTTTTGTACACCTATTCGTATGGATAACGGGGTCTTCGAGACGTTTTTAATCGATTGACAATGATTTCTTAGTTATAACAAAAATAGGAGTAAACTGCAAAGCAAATTCACCGAGTACAGGAATAGATTTGGGCTCGCCAACGATTCTGATCAAGCAAATGCTGGTAAAACTCAATGTTCCATTTCATTCAGTAAGAGTTATGCCCTCTCTCTACCTATTTAGTGTACAACACAATTGATGACGTCGTTCAAGCAGTGAAAACAAAAGAAGTAGATGGAATGTTCTTAGACCGATACAGAGCTTCCCATTACCAGTCAAGAGGCAAATTAAAATCGCTCATCACCGTCAAGAAGCTCGAATACCGAAAAGACATTGGAGTTCTCTTTTCCAAGAACAATCAAAGACTTGCAACTTGCTTAAACTTTCATCGTTCAAACATTTGGAGATTGGTTCAAACTCTTACGGCTACTTTTAAGGTAATGTTAACGTTTATTAGTTTTGGAATTATTTACACAAATATCCTTATCTATGGGCTGCACACTACCATAATACTGTGTTTATAGCCATTTTCTAGACATATCATCTCCTCGCGACAGTAGGAGCATAAGATTGGCGGCACAGACATATATAGATAAATCTTAGATCTAAACTTGTAGACCTAGACTTAGACCTGGACCTAGACCTAGACCTAGACCTAGACCTGGACCTAGACTTAGACCTAGACCTAGACCTGGACCTAGACTTAGACCTAGACCTAGACCTGGACCTAGACCTGGACATTGAAGAGAACAGAGCCGTGGACCTGGCCTGGACCTGGACCTAGACCAGAACATAGACCTTAACGTACCCGTGCAGGAGTGGGCAAGGGCAAAGACGTAGGAAAAGACATACAAAACATAATGTAAAGGCGTAGGGATGCACAGGGTTTTTCGACCTATTACATTACTGCTTTTTCTTCGTTTTCTTTTTCCTTTTAGCTAACCCAACAGAAGCCTGCCGGAAATGTCGGTCTTTTTTATAATTCCTCGCCCTTTATCAATTATCTCGTCTACCCATCGCTCGGGATATTGCTTGGCTTGCTGTTTGTCGGAACGGTGTGGGATATCTTGATCCGGAAGAAGGATAAAGTCCAACAAGATGTGGTATTAGGTAAATGTCTTATATCTAGCGGCAGTATAATCAAGGTGTCGCAGTAGGCGAACCGGACTCTGTTTAGTTTCGACTTTCGTCTGATTAGCTACTCATAAAATCAATTTGCAGCTTTTTCGAGATAAACAATAATCCAGCAATATATCAAGTTAACTCTACAACGATATTTCGAAGCACTAGTTGTTTATTGCTTTTCTTGTATCAAATGAAATCACGGATTATAAATCCTTGACGTAATATTTATATCAAATACTTGTGGTCGTATCTCCAACCTTCAGATTTCATCTATAATACAGTCATTAACATGTTATGTATCATTGTAGTTGCAGAGGTGACGAATGATGGAACCGCAGCAAAGCGACAAGCGATTCAAAAAGACCTCGAAGCCGGAAGAAGACTTCTTCTTCAAATGCAGGAACACTTTAACAAACTTGAGGCCAAAGTTTCCGAACTACATGTGTCATTACCATAGACGCGACGCAGCCCAACAAAACGCCCCATACCGCACATTCTCATAAGAAGCCTCCACTCGTCCGAAAATTTCCGACCCCCTATTCAAATCGCAGACTCAAAAATTACTAGTGTAAGTTCTCATTAGTACAAACCACGTGCATCCTACATTAAGTATATGCCATTCCTGAGTTGCATTTTGACTCTGTGTCAAACGAGTGTTCGTGCGAAACCCTTTATATGAAAATGGTCCAGCTACAGGTTCATTTTTATGCAAACCAAACTCATTTTCATATGAAACTGTATTTTGCACAAGAACTCGTTTTGAAACACAAGCACAAGGCAACTCGGAAATGACCTATTCAGATACTCTAGCTCCGTAAACGTCAATAAAACTTGAACTTGCTTTTAATATCGCTAGTGTTTTGCTGTTCAAAACCTGAGAGGAGTAAACATATGGGGCAAATCTAAGAGGAAAATGATCACCAGTTTTAAAGTAGTTTAGTTTTGTCCTAGTAATAATCAGTTATAATCCTGATCACACATTACACACAGATTTTTACCAGAACCAAACAAATGCAGTTTTAATCTAAGAAATAGTCAAAGTTATCACGTTCCATTTGCAAAAGGAACACGCTAGAAAATGGCCAGGCTAGAGAATGGCTTTTTCTACAGAAATTGTATATAGACGATTTTAATTGTGTATTTTATGGATTACATTTTAGTATAGTCTTATTATTTGAATTCATTTGTAAAGTTTTGTCTACTTTAGCCCTGGAGCTGTGATTTTAGTCCCTCAAAAACTATCTATTCAGTTCTATTTATCCCTAACTTTAGTGACTTATCGGTTATTATGTTATTAATATGCGAGAAAGTTTCTGTACAGGAGTAGGTGTTGTTTTGTGTGAAAGAAAATGGAATGATCTGATAGCTTTTAGCTGGAAAATATACAAAATGGAGCGATTTTATAATTGCTCTAGCGTTCTTGTTTCTTCCTTTTATTATATGACGGAGAAAAACATTTCATTGTGATTGGCTGAGAGCGGCTAAAATTGATTTTTGTCTGTCAAATGTTAAACAGGAAACAACAATTATTTCTCCATTTCACATATTCCATTCTTTATATTTATGTGTTCTCACTAACCTAACATTGAGTGCTCAAGTGTTCAATGTCTCGGAAAAATCGATAAGGCAGTTAACACAGCCAATGGAATCCTAACGAAAGATAACTTCTACCTCAAGGACTCTTACCTCCCTCAACTCGACCGGTGGAAACACCAACCGAAGGCCTTGAATCTTCGCCAGTATAGAGGCTGAGGGGAAGGAGGACCAGGACTGTCCTCCCAATTTAAGCATTATTATTGAAACCCAAACTTCTCAAGCCCACGCCGTCGAGAAACTTGTAGAACTCGAGGAACTCTGCTGTAGTAGCATTACTGCCACAGAGGGGCAAAACGATTAAAAGAACTCAAACCATCTGGCATGTAAAGAATGAAGCCCGATCTAAAAGATCCAAAAATAATGTCAACGAAGGCAAGATGTGTCAAGGAAGAAAAACAGAGAAACAGGAAGGATCTGATAGCGACTCCTGAGAGAGTACTTGAGTGGATAGCAATGTAGAGGAATAGCGGATTAGCCAACTTTGTCAGATGATGATCAGATGTTGGCCCAAAATCGTTGACCCAGTTCAGCCGGGCACACCCTCACTTGAGGACACAGCTCCAGGACGACCACAGAACGGCCCTTAAAAGACCTTCAGAAAGACGGCCCACAGCCTTCTGAAAGAAGATCCACCAGAGAGTGCCTTATTATGCCTTTAATCCCTTTCAAGGACCATTGCCAGCCCTGAGAGTGCAGTCCGAAGCAGAGCTGTTAATTTGTGATATTTTCACTTTGTGTTAGGATGGACTTTATGCGGGGAAGTTAAATTTACTTTTGTGAAAATATTTAATCCACCCTTTTGCATACCTATTTGTTATATTTTTTCTATTTTCGAGTAGCCTGTGCCATCTTGCAAAGAGAGAAAAGGATTTAAGGATACTGTGAGACAGCGGCCTTGTGTCCCAGTGCTAACGTCAGATACAGACTACGAGTTGTATGTAGGTCTCTTTCTGAACTACGAAATTACAGAGCCTTCAAAAAGCTCTTCCTGAGTTCCTATCTCGAGATCTTTGTTGCTATACTGAAGAGCTTCGGTTTAAGTAGAATTGCACTAAATTACTACAAAAATGGAAATTGATAAGAAGCTTATTCTGACAAAAAAGAAGATGCCATGATAAACTGGAACTGTTTTCAGGGAATTCAAAGCAAATACAGAACGCGAAAGTTAGACGAACACACTAGCCTAAAAATTATATTTCAATTTTGATACTTTGAATTCCAGTTTGTCAAACTGTTCTTGCGTTTGTCGAAGAAGCCGTCGTGCCACTTCGAGGTCGTTTTGGATTGTATCTGTTGTCATCCCTTCATTGACTGCTGTTCCTGACAAGACAAATCAAATGAAGCTCTTTAAAGACACTTTACTAAGGATTAGAACTCCCCGTGGGATGCTTTCAGAAGCTGATATCTTTCGTGAATATTTAAAAGTAACAGTTGTTTATCCAGTGACTAATTTCCTTGGTTTCATTATTGGTTGTATTGATGGATTTTTATCCTTTTCCATACAGCCTTAACAATCTAGTTCATTTTAGTACTTCAACTACTTGGTGCCATTTTGGAGTGAAGGAATCCGATTTCTGGTCATCAAAAAATGGGGGACGGTTTAACAGAAAGCTTCACGATTCATTACGACAGAAACACTCATTTCAAATGTTCTAACAAGTCTTTTTAATCGGGGATGAATAAACGTTTTATTTGGGAGCTCAGAGCGCAAATTTTGCAAAGAATAAAAAGCTAATGATTCTTGTCCTTTCTGGGATAAAAGTCTCAAAATTTAAAATATCCTGGATCGAATAAACTTCGTTAGCTCCACAAACCAAAAGTAGACCAGATTGTAAAGAATGCATAATATTAATTGAGATCTCTTGGGCATGTAACCCTAATGATGAGACTTTTGGACAGAGCTAACATCCAAAACGCATTAACAGGATTGGAATCTCCTTTTTAAATCAACTATAAAATGTTTATGCTCACCTAATACAGGATTTTGGTTAACTATTCTCTTCCTTCTAATATGAGTGTCCCACAGGGTTCCAATCAGGAGCAATCCGGTCAATACGCCGAGCGATGCATACATGATCCTCTTAATAAAGGGGGATGACTTGTCAAACAAGTTGGCATTTCGTGCAGGCCTCTGCTCTGTAAGCTTAGGGCAAAAAATAACACCGCCATAGGATTTACATCACTTAATACATATCACCCCGATTTAAAACTGATTGTTCAGAGAATATTAACGAACTGCCACTTAATATTGCACTGAGGTAAAGTTCAATATTCTGTTGTATTTAATGAAATTTATGATTTTGGGTTTCGTTCATAATTGTTTCAAGGCTAAATCAAAAAGGCAGGCCAGTACACCTTGTATTTTGAATAAACGCTGAAGCCTGCCTGCACCTTGGTTCCAGTACATCGCAAGTCTTCGATTTCGTTTCAATGTATGTAACCTTTTGATTGTAAGCCAATGTCCCGAGGTGATGTAAGCCAGGGGAAAATATAATGACAGACAAGTGCCCCTTGCAAACCTTGTTTCAAAAGGAAACGAACCTTACCTTATATGTATCAGTAAAGGTTTGGGCCGACTTCAAAATGTTTGAGCGATAGAAATTTAAGCACTGTGCCAGAAACTCTCTATCTTGGGAGAACAGAACTCCAACGTCCCTTTGAAGTTCTAACTTCTTGACGGTGAGAAGTGATTTCAGTTTGCCTCTTGACTGATAATAGGAAGCTGTGAAGCGGTCCAGTAACATTCCATCTACTTCCTTTGATTTCACAGCTTGAATGACGTTGTTAATTTGTGGATACACTAAATATAGAAAGAGAAAAGATGAAGGTTGTTAAAGGTTTTTTAAAAGAGGAGTCAGATCAACATCAAATTCAAAGATTTGCGATCTCTATGGGAATTCTTTATTAGCCATTTGGTTGTCTAATGTACGCTTACCTCAGTCTACTTTCACATTTATCTTTTTATGCTCTGGCAAAAATCAAATCAAAATCTTTGCCTTTTTGTAAGCACTGAATCAGATAATGGGACATGACTCTAAAGGTACCATCCCCACCCCCCGCCCCTTCTGAACAACACCAGGCTCGACATTTCCACTTTGCACCAACCTGTTGGATTAGCATCTTCCTGAAGAGCATGCTGGTATTCCGTGCTATTGGCCAGCACTGCAACCTAACGTGAATCATCAAAGTAAATGGGTTATTGACGCATTTGTAACGAGTTTTCATTTCGGCATTATTTTGATGCTGAGAAAACGTAGGCTCGATTTCTACCCCCCTGGAGTCCAGCAGTCTAGTTTAAATTGATAATATCATATAAGAACAATAGATACAGTTCGACAAACCTTCACACCGACAATGTTAGTAGGTTCCAGTTGCAAGGAAAGAGCTGTAAGTGCAGAGGTGATGTTTGCCATAAAGATCGCCATGATAATGAGGCCCAACAGGATCCAGATGATAGAGAAAATTCGAGCCACGATCGACTTTGGAGTTTTGTCGCCATACCTCATGTAGAAAGAAAACGTTATTAAGGACGTTCGCGTTTCTAGTTAATAGATGTTTTTAAATTTCACTGCTGTCAGATAATGAGCTACTTGTATCAG